TGTGCATATTGTCAGTGGAAGTATGAGGAAAAAGATAAGGCTGAGTAAGGCGCCATTGGCCACTAAGATTTTTATCAACCCCATCAAATAGCTAAAAAGTAGTAGTAGTAGTAGTATTTTAGGTAGGATTTGAACTCAGTTCCTCCTGACTTCAAGGCTAGCACTGCACTGCAAAGCTGTCTCTAAGTACTCTGGATAGATGTATTCAATTCCTGCTACAGTCATTATGCCAATCTATGCAGTGGAATTTAGTGAGGGCTCCTTTTTTTAAATTCACTCAATTCAAGTTTATCACCCAATCTACATCCTAATAGCAGTTATTTATTGGGCAGCTAGGTGGTGCAGTAGATAGAGTGCTGAGCCTGGAGTCAGGAAGACTCATCTTTCTGAGTTCAAATCCGGCCTCAGACACTTACTAGCTGTGTGACCCTGGGCAAGTGACTTAACCCCATTTGCCTCAGTTTCCTCACCTGTAAAATGAGGTGGAGAAGGAAATGGCAAACCACTGCAGTATCTTTGCCAAGAAAGCCCCAAATGGGGTCACAAAGAGCCAAACATGACTAAAACGAATGAACAACAATTGGGCTCTCGGGATATTCTCCCTCCTTTGTCTAGTTCAGTACCTGGATTGATCTTCCTTTTCACACCAACTCCTACTCCTGCTCTTACCCCAGGAGACTTCAATACACATGTTGATGTATCCTCAAACACCCTAACTTCCCAATTCCTCAGTTCATTCATCTACTCTACCTCACCAGTGTTTCATTTCAATGATCAACAGTTCCAAAAGCCCTTTATCACACCATTACTTTGTATCATCTTCTGTCTCCTATTCTTACTCCATCATCCTAAACCCAAATTTCTCTGTCCCTCACTACTCTCCTGGACTGTGTTCTAACTTCACCTTCTGCCCTTCTCAAGAGCTTAATCAGGTCAATTCTACGTTATCCTTGGCTCTTGAATCCCTTGCCCCCGATCTATCAAAACTCACATTTTATCAAACATCAACCTTGTTGCTCCTACTCATGTGTGGCTGAACTGAATTGGAGAAAATCACGATTCAGACTGAGACCAACGCTATATGATATCAACAGAGACCTTACCATAGCAAGACAATTCTTTTATTCCTTTCTAATTATCTAGCCCACTCCCCGTGGGAGCTATTCCACACTTTCTCTCCTTCCTTACTTTCAGTGGAGCACTTTTGTTTTACACTTTAATGAAAAAAGAGAACAATTGCTATGAGCTCTGTATTTTCCTCTTCTGTTTACTGATTGATTCTCTATATCCTAAAATTACTTGATATCTTCATACTTCATTCTCTCCATCATTCCAGTCTCTGATGAAGAGGTGACCCTCTTCACCGAGGCTAAACTCATTAAATGTTCCCTTAATCTCATTCCTTCCTGTCTTCTCCAGAAGATTGTCTTCATAATCATTTTCCTTCTCTCTCTAATCTTCAATCTCTCCTGATCTTCTAAGTCTATTCCTTACATACTACAGTTGTGCTCATCCTGAAAAAAAAAAACAACACTCATTACATCCTGTCATCCATTTATCTCTCCTTTTCTCAGCCAACTTCTAGCAAAGATGTCTACACTTCTCTCTACTTCTCATTTCTCATGCCTTTGCATCTGGCTTCCAAACTGATCACTCAACTGAAATGCTCACTCCAGAGTTACCAACAATTTTTTTAACTGCCAAATCTGATGGCATTTTCTCAATCCTCCATTTTTAACAACTTCTCTGCCACATTTGACACTATTGACCCCTTTTTCTTCCTTAGTATTTGCTCCTCTCTGGGTCTTCCTGACCCTGATTTCTTAGTTTTCCTGCTACCTGACTAACCCACCATTTTCAGTCTCGTTTACTAGTTCACTATCCATATAATACCCCCTAACTGTGAGTGTTCCCCAAGGCTCAAATACTGAGTCCTCATTTTTTCTTTTCATACTCTCAATATCCTCATGAGCTAGGATTAATTATCATCTCCACAAAATGACTCTCAAATCTACATATCTAGTCCGAGTTTCTCTTCGGAGCTCCAGCTCTAGTCTCAAATCTCTATTAGACATTTTCAACTGGATGTCTCAGACTCATCGCATCAAAAATACAATTCATTATTTTTTCCCTAAGACCTACCCGGCTTCCAAACCTCCGCAATTTTGTTTTAAGCACCAGCATCCTTCCAGTCACCTAGAACTACTAGTGTACAAAATAGGCCCAAGAAGTAAACTGGTGTGGGAGACTCTGAGCAGCCAAGAGGAAGCACGATTTCACTAGGTGCTTTGGGAAAACGACGAAAAAAAAAAAAAAACCTACAAAAATGAAGATGAGAGTACCAAAGACAAACCACCATTTTCAACTTCACATTTTTGTCTAGGGATGGCCCTGGATAGCTAGAAGTTTTACTAGAGGAAGGTTAACAAAGAATCCACATTTGACAATCCACCAAGGGCAGTCTTAGTAGTTTTGTGGTCCATAGCTTTCCAGATTAACCAAAAGGTTAAGAAAACAAGAATTTGTTATTCACCTGTTTCGTGCTCAGCATTGTCATGTTCTGCGGCACAAAAGTAAGACAGAGTCTACAGGAGGTTACAATATAAGAAAGACATTTACAGAGCACTTTAGGGTGAGAGTTCTTAACCACTGGTCCATAAGCTAATTTTGTTTTAATATATTTTGAAAATTGTGTTTCAGTATAACTGGTTTCCTTTGTATTTTATTGGTTTCATTATGTATTATATTTTATTCATTTAAGAACATCGTTCTGAGAAGGGGCCCATAGATTTCACCAGACTGCCAAAGAGGTCCATGACACAAAAAGGTTAAGAAACCTACTTTAGAGTTCTTTCCTCAAAACCACCTTTTGAAAAAGAAAAAAGTGCAATTATTATCCCCATTTTACAAATTAGGAAATTGAGGCACAGTCAAGTGGAAGTTTTTGCCTAAAGATACACATCTCATAAGTGGCCAATCTGGGATTTGAACCCAGGACTTCTAGTCAGGGAGAAAAGATTTACACAAAAATAGCATATGGGCCAGCTAGGTGGTACAGTGGATAGAGCTCCAGCCTTGGAGTCAGTAGGACCTAAGTTCAAATATGGCCTCAGACACTTGACACTTACTAGCTATGTGACCCTGGGCACTTAACCTCGATTGCCTCACAAAAAGAAAAAAGAAAGAAAGAGCATATAACACAAGACAAATATTTATTTACTTCTGACTATTAAGTGCTATTAAGTGCAGAGTTGATCAATGACAGTTATCTGAGAAGGCATGGAAAGGTGGAAATTCTATTAAGCCTGAGAGATTGGTATGACTTTAAAGGAAGGATGAAAAAAAAAAAGGCACGAAGGTTAGACTATTGATGTCAGGTTCCTCGGATAGTTCAGCCACATGTTTGTCTAGAATAGACAAAATAGCCTATGGAAAGTAGACAAGATAAAGGTCACTGTATTTTTTTTTCTAAATATATTGATGTCAACTTTCAGAAGCAGCATAATTGTTATTGAAAGTCAGGAAGTAGTAGGAATAGTATTTAGCATACTGTCTGGAACATAGTAGGTATTTAATAAATACTTGTGGATTAATGGATAATGATTATGATATTGTTAAAAATGATGCAAACACTAGAGTGGTTGTACATATATACATTATATGTGTTATACATATTATATATGTATCTGTATACATACACATATATGTAAATATATGTGTGTATACATACTTCATGGGCAGCTAGGTGGCCTGGAGGCCTGGAGTCAGGAAGACCTGAATTTAAATCCAGCCTCAAACACTTAATAGCTGTGTGACCCTGAGGGAGTCATTTAGCCTTATTTGCCTCAGTTTCCTCATCTGTAAAATGAGCTAGAGAAGGAAATGGCAAACCACTCCAGTATCTTTGCCAAGAAAACCCCAAATGGGGTCATGAAGAGTTGGACATAACTGAAAAACAATGGAACAACAAAAACACATACTTCCTGTCCTTTACTATCCGACTACACAAAAAATTATACATTTAAAACCATGACAGTGGTAGTTTCTTGACATGTTTCCTTTCATCTACAAGAATCATTGATTCCTACCTCTTCTTTCACATATGAGTAGCCTAAGATCCAGGGAAAAAAAGTGTCACACCCAAGGTCACACCTGTGACCCCAGTGCCCTCTGTATGCAAGTCTAACACAGTCCCCATTGTTTGGCATTTAAAACCCTTCACAACTTGACCCCAAATGAACTTTTCTAGTTTTGTTACATTTTACTTTCTTTCACGCACTTCTTTCTGGAACTTTTCTGTAACTCCATTTCAGTCTCTGGGCTTTTGCACAGGTGGTCCCCCATCTGTGGCATGCCCATCCATTTTATCTTCCCCTTTTGGAACCCCTCGCTACCTTCAACAGGAAAGCCTTTCCTCGTGACCCCGAGTCGGTAGTGACCCCCCCTGTCAATTTTGTGTATACCTATAGATTTTTCTGTATCTACGTCTTCCAGATGGAATGTGAGCAACCTAGGGGTAGGTGCTGCTCCATCTGTATAGGCACACGGGCACACATGCACGCACGTCAAACAGCTCATTGGGAAACTGTTCTCTGGCCAATCAGGCTGCACCCTCGCCCCTCCCTCTAGAAGCCTGTCCCTGTTTGCCAATGGACAGCCGAAACTGACGCAGGCGCAGTAGGAGGAGAGGACGCTCCCTCTGATCTTGTAAGTGAGGGCCCCCGGGCCTGTGTTTGTCCTTTACCAACTCTGGTCCGGAAGACTTGAGTGACTTTAGCCCCTGACCTTTCCAATAATATTTCGGGGAAAAAAAGAAATGCATATGAGGCGGGACCTTTTAAGACATAGAAAAGACAATGCGGACCTGTAATCCTCCGTCTTCCCCCGTCCTTTGTGGCCCTCCCTCCCTCGCCAGTCTTCTCTGTGCGCATGAGCAGTCCTGCTTTGTGGATTTGGGCGTGGCCACGCTCAGGTTTGGCCGGGACGTTCGTAGTCCAGCTGAGCTAACGTTAACGGGTCCCGGAGAGTGAACAGCCGGACCCGCCTTAGAGATCCGGTTCAGCTTCCCCATTATATAAGTGGAATCGTGGCCCAGAAAGGAGATTAATATTAAAAATGGAATAAATATCTTTTTTTTTTTTTTAAGGTTTGCAAAGCACTTCACATATGTCCAATCAGAGCCTCGCCTCTCCACACCCCCGGAAGGTAGGTGTTGCCCGTGTCCCCATTTTACGGCGAGGAGCCTGGACCCGAGCTGTCGGTGCCCCGCCTCGATCGATTATCCGCATCGGGTCCTATTCTGTGGTTTGTTAATCCGGTGTTTCCCCTTAGTGCTGTCTTTATACCCTTGTTGTTGTCATTTTGTGTATGGGTTAAGTGGCAGTTTTTATGTAACTCATTTTTTTGTTTTGTCCAAGAAGGAGAGAATTTGTCCCTTTATCAAAAGGAACAAAAGTTTGTTAAAGGTTATACAAGTGGTGCCTGAGCGCTGTCAGGTCCTGCCAAACTGCAGAGGCTTTGAGTCCAGGCCCAGCGAGGTCGTCTGTCTGTCTGTCTGTCTGTCACCCAGGGGCTTAGACCAGACGAGTTCAGGGAGGTTCGTTCCCCGAAGGCTGACTCCCAAGAGAGGAATTATTTTTCACCACTTAGGAAAACTGCGAGTCATTCAGGGGGGTTTGGATCTGTATTTGTAGAAAGAGTAGCCGTGTTGATGAAATGAGGAGTTTTTTGAAGTATTAAAATAAGCGTGAGATATACTTTATTGTACATATGTGACTCTGATAACTGGCTGATGAACTAATAGGAGTACTTTTTTTGTGTGGCCAGATCTCATTATGCTATTTGGAAAATTTGCACAGCCATTACACAGCTTAAAGAAATTTCCATGCTTCTGTGACCACAGACACTTCTGGGGGTGGTTGAATGCAGTGTTTAACAAGTAAGTTACTTGAACTGAATAATCACAGGAATTGTGGCAGCTGAGTGAATTCCCAACAGTACTGTCTTCTTGAATTAAAGAATTTTCCACTGCAGTTAAAGAATGCTATAAAGCTGTAGTCACGTTTGAAAAGAATAAAAGCAAAAGAAAAGTTTCCTTAGTTAACAGGTGAGGTGCTTACAAGTAAGAGTTTGGAGACTGATGAAACTGATGTTTTGGTTTTTTTTTAGTTAATTTCCTAGTTTTTTAAATTGCTGTTACCAAAATATGGAATAGAGAAAAAGTAAATGTATCATATGCACCTTGAAAAATTCCTGAATGAAGTTAGAGGAGGTGTTTTAGAAGATTTTTAATCAAAGTTAATCATCTGTGTCACTAAAGATTTATTTTCTGTTATATGGTAAAAAGTTATATTCCCTTTATCAGTATGCTACAGTATAATTCACTTGAAAAATAAAAACACAGGAAGGTACCAGATTAAGTATCATGCCCTTCTCTTGAACTTCACTTTCTTTGCTCAGCAATATCTAATGTTTTTTTCACTGTTATGTTATTTTTAGATTTAAAACATGATGAAATTATAAATGGTCATAGGAAGAATTAATCTATTTGGTTTTCCACTTTTAACAGAGTTGATTATGAACGAATAAAGGATGTTGGTCCAGACAGGGCAGCATCTGAATGGCTTTTGCGTTGTGGAGCATTGGTACAATACCATGGTCAAGAAAAATGGCAGAAGGACTACAATCATCTTCCCACTGGTCCTTTAAACAAATACAAGATAAAAGCAATTGATGCTACTGACTCTTGTATTATGAACATTGGATTTGACTACCTGGGTAATTACTATATAATTTTATCAGAAGTGGTTGGAAATTGTTCAGATTTTCAGCATCCAGTATCTAATTCATAGATATGGCTTATTGACCATACTGATATGCTGCAATTTGTTTTTTCCTTAAATGTGTTATTTAATTTTTAACAGAATTACAGAATATTGCCTTACCTTTACATGCCTTTGTCCTCTAGTGTATCCACTTAAACATAAAAGCCTTTGGCATCTCTGCCAAACTTTAACCAATTAGAAACAATGAAGACTGTAGGAATTAAGCAGTTAAGATAACTTAATCCACACAGCTTATTCTCAAAATATATACTCATTTCTTATACTCAAAATCTGGGAGCAAAATGACAATTTGTAGTCCTGCCTTTTATCAGGTTTCTGGATAGTTTATACTTATTATGAAATAGCATCTTTCTTTTTTTCAGAGGGCCTAGAACATGTGGAAAAAATAAAACTCTGCAAATGTCATTATATTGAAGATGAGTGTTTGCAGAGGCTTAGTCAATTAAAGAACTTACAGAAAAGCATTTTACAGATGGAAATCATTTCCTGTGGGAATGTCACAGAAAAGGGCATTATTGCATTGCATCACTTCAGGTAGGTTGTCACACAAAATTGGAAGAATAAATGTGGTTTGATAATGAATAAAATGGTCAAAATTGAATACCATTGGTGAGTAGAATAAGGTCATGAGATTTAGAGCTAGAAGAAGGGAACTTGCAGTCATCCAGCCCAACCTCCACATTTTACAAATGAAGAAACTAGAACCAGAAATGTTGTCACCTAAGTGGTAAATAGTACTTCTGCTGATGAGTAGAGAGCCCTGATTCTCTGACTAAGATCCATTGCTTATAATTACTTTACCGATGTGGATTTGTTTTGTGGAGTCTTTATTGTTTATTCAGTTTTGAGAAATATATCACTTGAAAAAAAGACTCAAGACTAATATACAACATTTTCAAATAAATGATTACTTAAAATATGTTCTCTGTCTTTTTAAAGTACAGAGGAATTAGGTATTTTAGACCGAAATTTATAAAATTCTGAGTCATAGCTGTACAGTAAAGAAATATTATACTTCAATAATACAGAATCTCTGGTTAATACAGAATATCTATGATGATGAAATGGATCTCCCAATAATCTCAGGATCAAAGAAAGTGGTATTTAAAAGTACTGAATTTTATGAAGTTGGTAACAAGCAATAAAGTCATTGGGTTGTGGGAGCAGCTAGGTGGCACAGTGGATAGAGCACTGGCCCTGGAGTCAGGAGGACCTGAGTTCAAATTTGGCCTCAGACACATAATACTCACTAAATGTGCGACTCTGCGCAAGTCACTTAACCCCATCTCACCAAAAAAAAAAAAAAGATAATGGATTTTTCTTAACTAGCTAAGGTTGCATGTTAAAAGTATTAAACATGTTAAAAATATTAAAATCTGAATTCCTCTCAGAATGTATGTAGTTTATTATTACATATTTTCTGTGCAAAGGAGTTGTTGAAATTGTCATTTAAAACAGAAGAAATTCTACCAAGTCAAATTCAACTGACATTAACTAATAAGTTCTGGGGATACAAAGACAAAAAGGAAATTTTCCCTGCCCTTGGAGAGCTTATATTCTATCTGCATTCATTTGGTAAAATAAATTATCTCAACAGAATTATTGAGATTTGAAATACCCATGTACACATGTTACTGTCTTGTTAAATTTCATTTAAGTAAAAAATCTGTTAGATCAATTGGAAAATCATTGTTTCTACAAGCAAGCCTTTTAGTAACATTCAAAAGCCAGAATAACACAGATTTGCATTCTGAGTGTCATTTTCTCAAAATCAATACAACATTCCAAACAATTGTTATTTGAATAAGAATAAGCAGAATGAGCCTATAATAATATTCTTTTCTTATTCTGTGTTTACAGAAACCTTCAGTATTTGCTATTACAAGACCTTCCAGCAATAACAAACCTAGAAGAGATTGATCGTATCTTTCGGCATTCATTACCTTCTCTGCAGTTAAAATTAAACCTAAAGTAAAAAAAAAACCGAAAAGCATTAATAGTAGTGTTTACTTCAGCAGTTCATTTGTAAGCTATGAATAGGCTGAGCAAAAACATGTAAGGACTTGTATCTTTTGAAACTGCTGCTTTTAAGAGAATAGAATTTACAAGTTAGACACAAGTTATTAATAGAACAACATTGATTCACTTTAGGAATTTTTAGTGCAGTAAAAGGGATGCCAGGTCTGTTGTATACAAAAATTCAAAGCACTCGGTAAAGTTATTGATTTGAAAGTGAGAATTTATATACATAAAATGATTTTATTCAAGAAAAGTGCAAAAAAGCACTTACATACTAATAATATATTTCTCAAAGAAGCTATAAAACTGTTCACAATGTTATTAAAAATATAATATAGCTGCTCCTTATTTTGCATTTCAATCATTTGAATTTCATCATAACAGCTTGTTAGAATTTGATGTTAAGTTCCACACTTAGAGGATTTTGAAGTGGTACTGTAAATTTCTCCAAGCCATTGAACAATGTATGGTCTGCTGTTTTTCTTAGCATGCATTTTATACTACATGCATCAAATCATTCTGATCACGGTCATTTGTATGGGGTTTTTCGTGTTATTTTGACTTCCATTGCCCTTTGTTCCACCCACACTTTTAGAATATGAATAATCACCTATTTGTTGTAAACAGGACTTTCTTTAAGAAATATGTACCTGAGTAGCCAAACATCCAAATATCTCAAAATAAATAAAAAGGTAACTATCATGAAGTTTAAAGATGGTAAGAGTAATATTCTATTAAGGTTTTTGTCAATATAGAATTATGTTTATATGTAGGAAATTTTAATACGTTGGTTAGAAATCTTTTGCTCTTGGCCACTCTTCCCTTTTGATCTGAGCTGCCAATTAGGATGCCAAAAAGGAGAATTAGGCTCAAACAATTCAATAATAGATCTATAAAACAACAGTGAAGTATGATTATGCTAAGCAAATGAAAATGTTCTTTGAAGAATTAACCCCAGTGTTTTGTTGTAGTTTGCTTGGAGTGTCTAATTCTGTATTTAGTTAAAATGTTTTATTTAACTTGTGTAGTATCTTTATTTTTTTTGCACTATAATATATATGGAACACTTTAAAACTATAGACTTTTATGTTAGCCTTGCTTTAAAAGTAAGTATCATGATTTAAGAGAAAAACTGGAGAAATTCAGGAACTTCATCTCTGTGTTCCAGCAGTGTTAAAAAAAAACCAAACAGCTTTTGTATTAAATATTACCTAGTTCATAATCTATCAACAGATATTTATTAAGCACATGCTGGGTATATGAAATATAAAATAGTCCCTGTCCTCAAGAAACCTACATTCTTTTGGGGAAGGCAACATGAATCTAGGTAAGTAACTAGGTTATTCAATGGATAGAACGCTGGACCTAGAGTCAGGAAAATCTGAATTCAAATCCAGCCTCCAATACTTTCGGTAACCCTATAACCACTTAACCTCTGTCTCCCTCAGTTTCCTTATATTAAAAATGGGCATAATAATAGTACCTACCTCACAAAGTGAGGATAAAATGAGATAACATTTGAAAAGCACTTTGCAAATCTTAAGGCACTATGTAAATGCTATCTATAGCTGTTATAAATAAGTATAACCAGTAGGTGTTGCTATGAGGCAAAGTTTGGCTGAGCACTAGCTTTTCTTTTTTTTTTTTTTTTTTAAAACTCTGTCTTAACAGGAGAGGGGAATAACTAATTCATTCCAGACCTTGACCAGGAGAAGGGAGGTTTCTCTGAGGCTGCTGTGGCCTAAAATGTCTGGTTCTAAAGACCAAATTGGTCCTAGACTACCAGCCTTTGTGATTTTAGGACCTTCTAAGTTAAGATCCTGAATAAACATCACTACATCTTCTCACTGTTCATGGAGCCCTCAGGTGAAGACAAACTCTAACATTTTGGGCAGTGATTTAGTTTCTAACTTGGTCAAATGTATTTTCTCACTGGACATTTGCCCTTTCCCATGACACACTAAACATACAGACATGCAGTATAAAGCAATTATAATTGGCCATGGATTTTTTTAATGTGAAAATCAGGAAATAGAAATGATTTAAAGAAATATCGGGAAAAGTCGTAAAAGCACCTACCATCAGGTATCTGATAGAGAAAGTTCGAGAAAATAAAACCTTTTGCAGTATTGACTCAGTCCTGAAAGGAGTGGGTAAAATCAGCATCTTCCAGTGACTTCTAGTCCCAGCATCCTGGTCCCAGAGCTAACTTCTCAAGATGACTACAGAGACTGGACTGCACTGTCATGCCTTTGCTGCTGTTGCAGGACACTCTTATTCTATTTTATAAAGTTATAATCATAAACATTATTTGACACGTTTCAGACTGGATGACCTCTAGGCATCTCAAACTCAACAAGTCCAAACCAGAACTAATTTTTTTTCCCAAAACTTTCCCTCTACTAACTTTTCTTATTTTAATCAAGGCCACGACGTTCTAGTCTACCAAATTTGCAACCTTGTTATGTTTGACTCCTCCACATTCCTAATTCCCAAATCTTGTCTTTTCAACCTCACAACATATCTTCCTCTCTTGTTACACAATCACTACTCTAGTTCAGGCCCTTATACCATCCTATCTAGAGTATTGCAATGGCTTCCTAATTGGTTTCTCTACTTCTAGTCTCTCCCTTCTCCAATACATCCTTTGTACAATTGTTAGTGATGTCACTTCCCTATTTAATAACCTACAGTGACTTGCTATTATCTCAAATACAAACTCTTCTGTTTGAGCTTTGAAGATTTTTACTATCTGACCCCAATGTACCTTTCCAGTATTGGTATACATGGCTTCCCTTCTCACACCCTTCAGTCCAGTCAAACTGGCCTTTTAGAAGTTCCTCACACAAGACTCACTTCTGCCATTTCCATGCCTTTGCACTGACCATCCCCAACTTAAAAAAAATTGATATACTGGAAAACAATAGAACAACCAGATTGGTTTTCAGCAATATAGTTTTCTGATGTGTGTGTGTGTGTGTGTGTGTGTGTGTGTGCATGTGCATGTAAAGCACAGAATAATTCTATCATTGGGTCTAAGTTGCAAAGAAGCCAAAAGTGAAGGGCATTGATAATGAAGACAGGCTCACATTTTATTGGTTTTTACATTTCATAAAGCACTTTCCTCACAATAATCCTATGAGATAGATGGTACAAGTGTTATCACCCTCATTTTACAGATGTGGAAAAAGGCATTTTCAGTCTTACCTGAACCCACAGAGAGTAATTATCAATAATTTTATCTAGGAATGCTAAAGAATAAGTAGAAGCTGTTTATTACTATATGTAGTAATATGTTCTTGTTTTGTGCTCCATAATATCTAACACATAGAGAAAAACAGAAGTAAATTCCATAATGCATCACCAGGCAATATATAGCCAATGTCTGCGTAATGTCACTAATGGAACAGTAAAGGTTAAGAAGGCAGTATCTTTAGTAGGCCATTTGATATTTTATGTATTGCATGTAGATAAATAAGCCTATGACTAGATAGAATTACCTCTCACAGAAACATAGCTTTGCTCTGTTTCATGGATATGTTATATTAGGTGAAAGAGTACAGATAGATTAGTGCAAATCTGTCACCACTACTGGAAAACAACTCTGAATAGCTGTTTTGTTGACAATATATTGAGTTATACATATAAGCAACACCCAACACTTTTCTAAATGGTTGTCTTTGAAGAGTAGATTAGTGTATACACTGATTCAAGCAAATCATCTTTCAATGATCAATGTATGGATTATCTGTAGTGTTTGCAATTGTTGATGTTACAGGTGACATTTGAATCTGAGTCAAAGACCAGTACTCTATCATCTACGTCACTCTGACTCTAGTAAACTACCAAATATTCAAATTAATACCTCTTAATGTCTTTCTTGCTACTTTATAAGTAACTTGGTCATGGAGAGAGAGAAAAAGGAGTTCCAATACCTGGTGTTGGTTCTGCTGAAGAAAAACATTTTGTACAAGTGTGTATCTAATCTCTAGGTTCCATCTCAGAGGGATGACTTTTGTAGTCGTTAGGCACCTCAAATTTCTACTGGATACAGAATGATTAGGTAATGGGACTAACATAGGATAATATCTTGTAATGGGTTGTCTAGAATGCATTGATTGTCACACATATTAAAAAGACTTGCAGCTCACCAGACATGAAAGAATCATCCACGTAGTTTACCCCAAGCCCTTTCCAGGCTCTCTTTGATCCAATTGTTAAATATTTCTTGTAGGGTGGGGGTTATTTTTTATTAATTCCTGTTTACATATAAGCTTTGGATAGGAGCTGGGCCTATGATTTCATTGTTACAGGGAACTCTCAGATAAGGAAACCCCCTCAACCTGTGCAGGTTGGCACCTCTGCAATTTATAGTCTGACAGAGTTGCCTAGGGCACTGAGAGTTTAAGTGTATGACTGAAAAAAGTAATACACTTAATGAGGCAAGACTGGAACCCATGTCTTCCTGATTCCAAGGCTAGTTCTCCATCACTCCACAATGCTACATCTCAGGGTATAACTTCCCTTAAAGGCCCTGTTCTAATGATGCATTATGTTGTGGATGATCTCTTAAAATTGATGCCAGCACAGTGTGAACCAGGAGGTTCACCAAGATGAAAAAGCTCTGAGTACTCAGGTTCCACATGCAGGTTCCCGACCCCTGGTAGAGACTTTTTAGTTCAAAGAACAGTCTAGCAAAACGTGGAAAGGCTTGTCACCAGGTTGGCAATGAACTTTTCAGCCTGAGCACCTTTTAAAGACTATCTGCCAAGTTATTGAGAGATCTGTATTGGTGGAAGAAATTCTCATACTAGTGAAATCATGAGCATTGGAAATAAGTTTGTAAATATAAAGGCCTAAGAAAGATAATTTGCCTTTTCATATCCCTGTAATTACTATTTTCCTCTCACTAATATATTGTAATAAAGTGTTTTATTTTTAAAACTTTTAAAAGTATTTTAAATTTATTATTACTAAAGAGTGAAGTAAAACTTTATTTTCTTTTTTGGATGGCAGACTGTGGACATATAACACATAACATGCATTCTATTGAAGAGAAAAATGTAACTAGGATACAAACTTTAAATTATGTTAAAATGTGATGTTTCGTTGTGTGGGTGTTATTTTTAGCACTAGTGGAATTTTTTTTCCTGGACCTATAATTTCATTGGTGTAGGGAGTTACTGGTAAAGCTTCTTCTACCAACAGAAACCAATGATTTCTTGGCAGCTTAGTAGCCTGTAAGAGTCATGGGGGAGGGTGGGAGAAGGGCAGGCACTGAGAAATTAAGTAACTTGTTATGAGTTATTCAGTAAGTATGTGTCAGAGGTAGGACTTTAACCCAGTTACTGACTCCAAGGTCAGATTTCTGCCCACTATTAGATGCTGCCTCTCCACACCACTGAAATTATCTGAAGTCTTTATAGTTTTTCTTGATTTTATATTCTGCATTTTTGCAAATTCTATTTTGTTTTGTTTTCGCTAGGATGCTTATTCTCTCCTTCCTATCCCTTCCGCCCTGAACTGAGAAAGCAAGAAAAACAAAACTACTGTTAAAAAAAAAAAAAAAGGAAAACACATTCCCACATTGGTTATACTCCAAAACTTTTTAAATTCAATTTTATTTCATTTCACTTTTCTGAATTCCTGTCAAAAAGGATTAAACATCAACTCAAAAACTTCTGAGTTACATAGGAAGGTAGTAATTTCTTCA